TGACAGTATTATAATTATACAACAGCAAGATGTTATAAGCATTGAAGATATTCATATAAAACCGCCCATGCCAAGAAAGTAGAATTAGAACTTTCAGCCGCCCTTCGACTTTGTGCAAGATGTTTGATATTCAAATTGGACTTTTCCTACCTCCTGAACAGGCATCTTAACGGCTGTTTGCATGATGGAAAAAGGGATGATTTTGATGTATTAAAATATTAGTCACTAGGCTAAACGAAAGTTCAAACGCTCAAATGTAGAGAAGTAGTTCAATTAAGTATGTTCAAATGTAGAAAAGATCTTGTGGTTCAAGAAGGTTATATTATGCTTGAACAGGCAACCTTTCATTTACAGTTAACTATACTGTAATCCATCTCTAGAAAATAGTGAAATTTTTTGCTGAATCATGCATTGTGACTTATTTAAGTACATCAAAATCATCCTGCCTCATATCTGCTGGCAAAGCGGGATCATATAAACAGCCCCTTTTTCGGCAAATTGTGCATGCTGCCTTTAATCCCTTGGGGTGAGGCAGCATTTTCCTTGCGATAGTAACTTCTAGTTTTAAAAATTACTTCGCCAATGAACTCGTATAAGATGAGTCGTTTTTTAAGCCATTTAAAGCACTTGTAGTCGTGTTTTATCACATATAAAACACTCCGCTACGCGTCGTGTTTTATATGTGATAAAACACTCCTACGCGTGCTTTAAATAGTACATATATATATATATATATAGAATTTCGCTTACCTCAAAATTCCGCAACAGTCTGTTTCATCAGGATACCGCCTGATGATTCTTTACTGATGAAACAGACTGTTGCGGAATTTTGAGGTAAGCGAAATTCTACATTTGCTCTATCTTTATGATATTGAGCACTCTTTGCGTTTCGTATACACAAACCTACTCGTATATATATATATATATATATATATATATATATATATATATATATATATATATATATATATATATATATATATATATATATATATATATATATATATATATTAAGGTGAAAATGTTCTCGAGTGTGTATTATATAATTTCCATACCCAGCGCAAGGTATGGGTATGGAAATTATATAATACACACTCGAGAACATTTTCACCTTAACATATTACGGAGTGTACAATTACACAACTCAATATATATATATATATATATATATATATATATATATATATATATATATATATATATATATATATATATATATATATAATAATTAAATATTAATACAACTCAATATTATATATATATATATATATATTGAGTTGTGTAATTGTACACTCCGTAATATGTTAAGGTGAAAATGTTCTCGAGTGTGTATTATATAATTTCCATACCCATACCTTGCGCTGGGTATGGAAATTATATAATACACACTCGAGAACATTTTCACCTTAATATATATATATATATATATATATATATATATATATATATATATATATATATATATATATATATATATATATATATATATATATATATATAATAGTTAAATATTAATACAACTCAATATTATATATATATATATATATATATATATATATATATATATATATATATATAATAGTTAAATATTGATTATTGTCAATTAAAATACAAATATCATTGATGCTGTAAAATTGACGCCACATTTATACAGCAATATAAGCAAAACTTGCTGAACTTCAGACATCATTTTCTCTTTGGCGTACCATCTAAAATCTCTTCATTCAGTATACTTTTACAGATAGAGCACTAAACATACTTTTTTATGTTTGTTTACCGCATGAAAACCGTACCAAAAATAAAAAAAATTATAAAAAATTAATATGGTATAATAACCAAGGGGAAAGTACATTCGTTAGTTTTGAGCGCGTGTTACGTCACGTACAAAAGATTCTTCTCTTAATTAATTTTCAAGTTACCAAAACTGCACTAATTAGGTCGAAAAAAAACGCAAGATGGCGGAATACTGTTTCTGGTAAAACTATCTCTAAAACTAAGCAAGATAGAAAAGAATTGTAACGGGTCTTCATAGTTATATCGTTTTAAAAGTTCGTTAAAATGAGACAAACTTAATTCTTATTTCCATTTCCCTTTAAGTGCATACAGTGCTGCACACCATGGGCGCGACTTTCAACAAGTTCAGGTTTTCACCAACTTTTGGAAATCATCAGCTTCGCGCGCGTTTGCTTAGATCCAGCGGCTCGTAGTCTGGTAGGTTCTTTCCCATATTCATGTCTTCGTACGACTCTCCTCTCTCGTCAACTGGTATAACATAATCTGAGTCTTGCGTTACTATGTCCATGTTCTCATACGTATCGTTTTCCATTGTATTTCCAACCTCTTCGTGATCTGATGTTCTGCCTTTAAAAACAAAAGAAGATATCATAAAGCTCTGGCCAAAGAAAACGAGTGTTGAGAAGTGAGAGTTCGCATGAGAGTTGATGAGAGTTGAGAAGCGAGAGTTTGCATGAGAGTTGAGAAGCGAGAGTTTGCACAAGAGTTGATGAGAGTTGAGAAGCGAGAGTTTGCATGAGAGTTGAGAAGCGAGAGTTTGCATGAGAGTTGGGAAGCGAGAGTTTGCATGAGAGTTGATGCGAGTTAAGAAGCGAGAGTTTGCATGAGAGTTGATGAGAGTTGAGAAGCGAGAGTTTGCATGAGAGTTGATGAGAATTGAGAAGCGAGAGTTTGCATGAGAGTTGATGAGAGTTGAGAAGCGAGCGTTTGCATGAGAGTTTTAGGTCAACTCTCATGTCCCGGTCAAACGAGAACAAGAGTTGCATGAGAGTTGATTGGATATTACCGGTCTTCAAGCAAAAATTCTCATCAAAATTTGAACCAGCTCAAAGGCGGTGAGAGTTGATGATGCAACTCGGCCCTCGCGTTTGGCCGCCAACCCTCATCCACTCTCCTCAACTTTGAACTGATTCAAATTTTAATGAGTGTTGATGAGAGTTTTCGCTTCGCGCGCGTAATATGTAGCCAACTCTCATGCAACTGTTGTTCTCGTTTGACCGGGCCATGAGAGTTGAGAAAACTCTCATGTAAACTCTCGCTTCTCAACTTGCATCCTCGATTGACCAAGGCTTAAGACGGCATGATCCGTCCCTAATATAGCGAGAGTTTGCATGGGATTTTTCTCAACTCTTGTGTATAATTAGCGCGCGTAGCTGCTAAAGTTCTCATCAGGACGCCGTAAAACGCTGTGTTTTAGAACAGGGTCAGGGATTCTCATCAACTCTCATTTGGAAGCAAGGCCGGATTATGGTGGAAATAGTAGGGGTGGTGGAAAAAATTTAGGGGAGGTGCAGCGGTCTAGCTCACGAACCCCAAGGAAAGTTAAGGCTTAGAAAGACAAAAGTAAACGACGTGACGTATGCATATAGTGTACATATATGTATCAGTGTATTAATGAATTATACATAACATTTATTGCATTGGATGATGGATACAATATAACAATAAAAAATGCAACAATAAAAAATAAATAAAATAAATGAACGAAATAATGAATAATGACTGTACCACTCATCCAATTTTACCCTTCATTACAATTACTACAAGGTTTCTTTCGAAATATTGCATTAAAAGGGTATTTGACAGAGATGAATGACTATCACCGTTTCAATTTTACAGAAAAACTTTCTTACGAAGTGTAGACCATAAGCAACCAAAAATGTCAAATTTTCACTTTGATCTATCATTGAAACTTTCCCAAGGGGAGGTGCATAACTTTTCAGGGGAGGTGCAAAAATTCTCAAGGGAGGTGCAAAGCGATCTCAGGGGAGGTGCAAAACGATCTCAGGGGCGATGCGCACCTCCCCTCAAAATCCGGCCATGTTTGGAAGTTGAACAGTTGGTGGTCAAACGTGGACGAGAGTTGCAACCTTTTACAGAAAAAAAAACATTTCAGTTTAATCAAGATATATTATGCATTTCTTCTCAGAATGACCAATGTATTACACATAGCAAGGTTAGCGGAATTTTAAACATATTACCTTCAGCTGATATGTCTTCAGACTCCTTTGCTTTTGTGGCGACGTCATCGTCATACCCTCTATCAACACATGGCACAGTTTCGTAAACTGGCTCCTGTTTTGATGATAATGATGACTTTTTAATGTCGATTACACGGGTTGCATTTGCCCAATTCACCCAAGCTTCAAAAACTAAGGCCTAAGGCTAGGAATAGTTTTTGGTGGCTCTATTATTGATCTAGTGTTACTACAAGAGGAAGACCTAAACTAAACTAACTTAATTTATACTGGGCGGCTCTATCAGTTCTAAACTGTTCTCCCCAGAAGTCCAGTATTAAGGATCATCTCTTATTGATCCAGTGTTACTACAGGAGGAAACCTAAACTGAACCAACTTATATTTATACTGGATAGTTCTATCAGTTCTATAGTTCCATCATCTCTTATTGATCTAGTGTTACTACAAGAGGAGACCTAAACTAAACTAACTTTATTTATACTAGATAGCTCTATCAGTTCTAAACTGTTCTCCCCAGAAGTCCAGTATTAAGGATCATCTCTTATTGATCCAGTGTTACTACAGGAGGAAACCTAAACTGAACCAACTTATATTTATACTGGATAGTTCTATCAGTTCTATAGTTCCATCATCTCTTATTGATCTAGTGTTACTACAAGAGGAGACCTAAACTAAACTAACTTTATTTATACTAGATAGCTCTATCAGTTCTAAATTAAACATTCGTAAATAATTTACCCGATCAATTGGCAATGATTCTTTTGGAGTTGCGTCTGCCCGTTGAATACCGACAGGAGTTGATAATTTTCGAGCCCGCTTTCGTCGTTTGTACTTTATCAATAAGACAATAAGCACGATGCAAAGAAATACAAAGCCACCTGCTGTTGTTGCTATAATAATGATTGTGCTGCCTGTTTTTTCCTTGACTGAATAAATATAAGATAAGAAAACATTATAGTTATTTCTAACAACCAACTCAAAATGTTACTGAAGACAACTAAATTAACGCGACACTGCCAACAGATAAAGAAGAACTTCCTACAATACGATGTTTGTGATGTCACTCTGAGTGTGTATCCACACCGGACAAGCTTGAAAAATATGCCTGGCCACGGTGGGAATCGAACCTACGACCTTTCGAATACTAGCCCAATGCTCTACCAACTGAGCTACGCGGTCAGATCGGTTCGAGTATGTGATATTTCGGAACTGGGAAGCTCTACTTCCGAAATATCACATACTCGAACCAACCTTACCGCGTAGCTCAGTTGGCAGAGCATTGGGCTAGTATTCCAAAGGTCGTAGGTTCGATTCCCACCGTGGCCAGGCATATTTTTCAAGCTTGCCCGGTGTGGATTGTTACATGATAGCTATTATCATGTAATTTTACATATATTAAATATTATATTATACTATATAGCTTATACTTAGTTCATATTATATTATATTATAAAATAGCTTACATGCATGAGTATGCAAATAGTTCTAAAGATTAAAGAAAACGCCTTGTCCACAAATAACGTCAACTGATCACATGAATGTGGTCGGAGAACTTCACTCTACCAACGACCACAGCATTCAGGGCCGTGCCGCCTGGGGGGGGTGTAACACCCCCAAAGAAAGTAAAAAGGGGGGCAACTTGCGGGGAGGGGGCCCTGACATGCTGAAATTGCAAAATTTTTAAAAAATGAAGGATTTGTTCGCTGAGAATTTTGAAAATTTCTGGACAAGTGTTGTTTTGCGAAAGATTTTGGGAACGAAAACATATCGTCGACCTTCCCCCAACCCCCCCCCCCCGTCGGAAAAATTTTTGCTTTCCGGAAAATTTTTTAGGGGGGCCCTGGATTGGAAGGGGGCCCAAATTTTGGAATACACCCCCCAACCTGAAACCGGTTGGCACGGCCCTGACAGCATTGCGTATAGGAAATGCGTCAAGATGGCAAAGTCGTCCTCTGACTAACTTTATAAAAGTAGCTTCACGCATCAGTAAACATGAGTATTAGGATTAGCAATGAGCAAGGACTAAGAAAAGGAACGAGACTCAACTCTCAAGAAAACTCCATGGCTGAAGACGAAGCTGCTTTAACGCGCTGATATTAATGTAGAAAGAAAACAACATGGATAACTTGTGGATGACTGATACAATACGAATTACACTTGAACTGTTGCTATATCAAGTTGCAATGCTCACTCGGACAGATAAGTTTTAACATATAGCCTAATTAACCATATTATCATATAGCTTAATTTCAGAATCTTTTGTATGTTACGTAACACGCGCTCAAAACTAATGAATATACTTTCCACTTGGTTATTTGCTTTATCTGTAAAAATTTGCTAAAATGAAGAGATTTTAGTTGGTACGGCCAAAGTCAGATGTCGGAACGGCCAATGTCTGAAGTTCATAAAGTTTTGCATATATATTGGGCCCTATATCGCTGTATAAATATGGCGGCAATTCATTACAGCATCAATAATAATTGTAATTAAGTACTGTTTTATACGTCGAATTTCGGTCGCGTCGAATGCAATTCATACAATAGATAATGAAGCCCAATGAGGTTTATCATCTCATTGCATCCGACGCGACCTGCATAAAACAGGGCTAAATTGACAATACTTAACTATTATTTTTGTTTCCCAACCGCCGGATACATTTAAAAAGGTTGCTAACTAACTGTGCAAACTACAAAATAAAGCTAAAAGTAATTTTGAGATGAACGCCCAAACAATCTTAGACTGGTACGAAAATATAATGAGCTTAATCACTGTATGCATGAACTGAATTAACTTGTGACCATGGAATGTCCAAAGAATTTCAAATCAACCATTCGCCATTGTAATAATGTTCCCCAAGGGATTACAACCAATCAATAATTTTGCCTTCAGCCAATCAGCGAGCTCATTTGCTTAGCTCAGCCAATCACGACGAGGATGTGTTTGTGTACTGGGCGTTACTTTTGCGTGCGAGGAAAGTTTAAAATTTCGCTTCGTGGCAGCAAGCTTCGCATTTGCACAAGTACTCGAAGAGAGAAGTTTATCTCAAAAGATCGCTGTTTAATCAAGCTAAATTTAAGGTAAGAATCTTTAGTCTTTTACTGTGAATTTGCTTTAGCCTTCGTCAATCGAAGGGCGACTTATATTTTTGAAACGCGACTAAATTCATGAACCGTTCGCTAATAGAATTCGTTCAACTGATGTTTTTTCTGCATGAGTAGTCGCCACGTGTATTGTATGGTCTTTCAAACTTTCGGCTATTTCTTAACGTTTTCGATAAAATCTTGTAGCATTTAACTTCAGAATCCTTGTCTTTTGTCTTCCTATAACTTATGTTTGTTTTCTTGCAATTTTAGGCCAGAAAATTCCGCGAGAAATTCGCTCAAGCCATAGACTGGCCACAAAGTCAGCGGGGATATACAGGGTGTCTAAAAAAAAACCAAAATCATTGAAATAACGTATTGTTCGAATTTCAATGCCGTAACACAAAGGATTTTGACAGGGTGATTAATTTGTTTTAAAAAATTTAAATATCTTTGTAAAGTGAACGTTTGTTTGCTCATGGGAATTTAAAAATGCTTCGTAAATTGTAATATGCGTAATATGCATTCGTGGGTTTAGTACTTTATGCCTGACATAACAAGTTTACACTGAGTATTACCATTCATTATAGCAGTTATGTCAATCTTTTATGCACTCGTGGGATTAACTTAGTGCTAGGGCATTGAATATCGAACAATACGTCAATTTCAAAGATTTTGGGTTTTTTTGAGACACCCTGTATAACCAGGTATATATATATATATATATATATATATATATATATATATATATATATATATATATATATATATATATATATATATATATATATATATATATATATATATATATATATATGTATTATTTCTCTATAAATATTTGTCGTAAACTAGAATAAACGCTTACTTTTAAGAATTGTTAAGCATCCTGGTAGAATTATAGTCTTCTTAGACTTAGTCTAAATTTTGGTCAACTTTTACTCAAGATAATACCTAAAATGAAAGCTGCATGCTTTACTCAAACGGCTTGGTTGTACTACATCTACTGTACAGTTTGTCCACAATTTTGTACGACATTTTTGCGACTTCTTAGTCGAAAATTCTGAAATTAGTTTGCTATTTCTTTGAGCTTATGTTGCAATTAGACTGACAGTTTTGTTCTAAATAGCTCGCCGTTCGCTTATTAATAATGAAAGAATTTTGTTTAATTCTACTAAATATTAATGCTGAATTTTACTGTAAAATGCTTCCATATGAGTATACGCGTTCAATTATTAAAATGTTTTTTATTTTTCTTTCAGGTGCAAAATTTAATGAAGTGAAATGACCCGCAAAAATGATAACCCTTTCAACATGCATGAGTAAGTACTGATCACAATTTAATGCACATGTCATGATAGTTTCGCCTCAGTCACATGAGAATAATTATTCTAGCTTAATTCGGGTACTCCGAATTCCTGTCGTAACACACAGGCGTTTAATATGCATTTCTGCATGCCTTAAAGCTGATTTCCACTGTTGCGTTCTTCGTACGCACGTACACGCACGTAAAACTTTGAATCTTTCTATTTTTAAAATATTTTACAAATAAGTTAACAAATGCATACTAAAACTTGCGGAACACTAAATTCTGTTGCTTTATTTATTTGGTTATTTCATAAGTAACATTTAAATGGATTTAAAGTTTTACGTGAGTATACGTACGTATGGAAAACTCGACAGTAGAAATCAGCCTTTACGTAATATTTTTTGTTCTGTACGCATAACACGTGCTCAAAACCAATTCCGATTACATGTATTTTTCGACACGTTTCTCAATTGGCAAGCAAACTTAGTGTTTTATGTGTAAAATAACGCTAAAATGAATTGATTTTAAATGGTACGCCAAAGAGAAAATGATGTCTGAAGTTCAGTATAAGTTTTGCTCGTATATTGCTGTAAACATTGGCGTCACTTTTAAAGCATCATTGCTAATTGTAGTTTATTTTACTTTTCAGGTTGGAAGGAGGAAACCCGCGCTTGGGCGGACATGGATTTTTTTACCTGCACATTTTTATTTTTGAGCCCGATTTTTTTCATACTCAGTCGTCGTCAGGACGCAAGATTTCAGAGACAAGGAGACGAGAAGAGCCCAGCTCGTCTGCCTTCATTTCAAAACTCGCACATCATCCAAAATTTAAGTGTGTGCATGAAAACATGCTTAGGCCTCTCTTAGGGCTAGTTTAGGATGATATGAGAAACGAGCGTAATGACCTCGTCAGATTAAGGTAGTTAGGACTCAATGCGTGAGATAAACGCTTAGCTAGTCCCATCAGTATCTGCCCCAAAACATGTTCGCACATTTTATTTTTGTTCAATGCTCAATGTGGAGCACTCGTGGAAAAGAAGAAGACTGTGGACGAAGATTCACAAGGTATTGTATTGTGTTATATATATTTATATTTATCATTCAGGGTTTCTAAAAAAACCTAGTGACCCTCTAGAGAACCTTGTCCTCAACGCCAGCAACCTCGTCCTCACCGCCAGGAACCTCGTCCTCAGCGCCAGGAACCTTGTCCTCACCGCCAGGAACCTTGTCCTCACCCGCAGCAACCTCGTCCTCACCGCCAGGAACCTCGTCCTCAGCGCCAGAAACCTTGTCCTCAGCGCCAGGAACCTTGTCCTCACCGCCAGGAACCTTGTCCTCAACGCCAGGAACCTTGTCCTCAACGCCAGGAACCTTGTCCTCACCGCCAGGAACCTGGTCCTCAGCGCCAGGAACCTTGTCCTCAACGCCAGGAACCTTGTCCTCAACGCCAG